GTATAAAATAAATGTCCTCAATATCAGGATGAAGCTTTTCATGAGGTTAGAGACACTAAATAAATCAATATTTTTAAGCTATATTTTACAACTGGACTTCTATTTTCAAATTGTAGATGTTTCTCTTCCCATCAGGGAGGCTTTGTCAGTTGAAAATATTTGGAGTGGGAGCTTTAGAGCTTCATGAAGGTCTATAGCTTAGAATACAGAATAGAGATCTGCCCCCAAACTGGACCATGATGCTTTGCGTTAGGCAAAGATGGCGGTATCCGCAAAATACTCCATTGCAGGATGAGGGAAATTGGTCTTGGCAGAGGTTTGCACGCTCCGACTACTTCTTGTTTAAAAAAATGCAACAATCATGATGAAAATATTCCATTAGTTTTTTTATTTATTTATTTTTTGCATTTAAATTGATGTCTGAAAATCATCTGGGGACTCTCACTTGATGTTTTGTGACTCACAAAGAGGTCCCGACCCCAACTTTGGGAACCGCTACACTAGATGAAATATTACCAATATTCTGCACACAGGAAATATTGTCTCATGTTGACTCTGAGGAATGTTCCATGGGTCAGCTGGGTTATTTTAGTGCTTTAGAATTAGCTTTTGCTAAATTTTTAAGTGCGTTAGTGCTTTAGAATTAGCGGACCTAAATATTAAAGTTAGTGCTTTAGGGTTAGTGCAGCAAATTTTTAGATTAGTGCTGCCCACCATTGTCTGAGTTCTACAGATCCTCTCGGGACCCTCATGTGTGTCTTGTTTCCTGTTTTTAAAACGGTCACAACCATAAAGATCCAAAGTGAAACCAAAGATGTTCAGCTTTGATGCTACATTCGTATAAAACACCTTTCAGGAACTCTGCTTCAGTTGGAGATCTAAAACACACAAGTTTTTTGAGCAAGTGTTTAAATATGTTGTATAAATAATTTTAACTTACACGTTAACTCTGACTGATGTTTYTTAAAGGTAATCACCCTCATGGAGCCTCTGAAACCTTTCATCGCCATTCTGATCGAGGTGGTCGTGTTGGTCGTCCTAATTCTTCTTTATGAGAGWATGAGGGCGAAGAAAAACGAAGGTACCCAGTGTGTAGATCCATGTGTACTTAACAATCTCTGATAATAATATTTTAATATTTTGAAGTATTTTCCGCAAATATTTCTTTGTAATCCGAGCTTGTAGTTAATTTATGACATTATTTGCAGGAACGCAGACTATTGCAGAGCAAAAGAACACAGAGTAAGTGTTGTGAACATTTCCTTCAAAGACATTTTTATGTTTTACTCATGYTTATTTTATTTTTATGCTTTCCCCAGGCCACAAGATGAAAAAGGARCAGAGGGAAGAACGTCAGTGAGACAGCGCAAATCTTAAGACAGCTAATCCCGAAATCGAGATTACAGCAAAGCATAAGAAAAATAAATTGTTTCAAAAGCTCTGAAGCAACACGTTCACTCCTCTTCTCAAAGCTGCAATAATCTGCACCCATTAACCCTCTTCTGACTGAAACACAAGTTTCCTGTTAAACCGTTTCACCCGTAAATGTTTTTCTTGTTAGTTTTGACACGGTTAAAAGAGCAAATCATTTCCCTTCTGTCGTTCACTCTTTCTGAGGACAAACTGGAAAAAAAAAGTCATGCTTGTTTCCTGTATCGCTGTCATGCTGAATGTTTTTTTTTTTTTATGGGCTTGAAAAGCCCACATCCTCTACGTGTGTTTTGTGCCTTACACTTTCAGAGCAATCAACTACGCACTGTGACAGCAGTGGCTTGTTTTTCTAATTTATATTTGCACTAATACATGTCTAACATGCTGTTTACCTAAAGCTRTGTATCTATATACTCTCTATCCAGGTACTTGTATCATTTTGTGTCCAGAAACAGAAATGTTTAAACCTAAAGGTGATTTTTGTCTTCCACTGTGTACTTGAAAAATCAATAAAACTAGTTATAGTAAATGGGTTTTTGCATTTTTAGCTACTTTTTGTAATAATTTAAAATGCTATTCGTAGATTCAAAGGCTTAATATTTTTGAAGATTTTGCCCTTAATGCCATCTTTTTTTTTTTTTGGCTGAAAGAAAAGATATATGCTTGATCTTATTTCTCAGAATGTGTTCTTTTATCTAGTTTTAGCTCTCCATCTGTAAAACTGACTTAACCATTTTATTTGGCGGCCATCTTGAAATGCATTGACTCTAAAAGGTAATAAAAGGTAATTAATTGTAGATGTGGTTAGTGTCTGAGTTTCATTAAAATTAAGAGCAAAAACACATGAATGTAAATTTAGTTTTCATAAATACAAAGTCCTGAACATTCAGACACGTTTTATTGGTTGTTTGCCTCGTGACGCCTTGAATCTCTCAACAGGAAACAAATCAGCTCCGTCTGTCAGGCACACWAACAAGAGGTTGCTCTTCAGGGTTTTTCCACACATACGATTATTTTTTACCACAGGCTTTAAAGGGCCTGTGACGTCAAATTTTTGTAACAAACATGAATGCATTTTTGTAAAGATAACATTGATAACATACTGCAAAACCAATTTCATGTTACTGAGATGAACATTTGTTGAGATATTTGCATGTGAAGAAACAGGAATTGATGTCAAAGGGGAATGTCTGCATGTAAACAGCATTGCTACAAAGCTAAAACAGACTGGAGAGAAGAATCTGATGTTTCTTAAGATTATTTAGTTTCTACCAAAGAGAGACAAAGAGGAGTTAAAGTTTAAATAATATTGTTTTAATAAACAAAAACCAGAGAGTTAATTTTATTAATGAGTTCCCTTTGGCTGAGCCAAAATCAAAATAGGCCAGTTATGTGACAAAATGGTTAAAATCATGTGTACTATGCCAATTTTCTTAAGAATAAARATGCTTTCTTTGACTTTTTGTATTTGAAGGATATGTGCGTCACAGGCACTTTAAAAGCTGCTTTTAACAAGACTGTTCTTATAGAGCAATGTGATGATTAYTGCAAACAAAAAACCCTGACGTGAATGCTGTGAAGCTCTGATCTGAACATGAATCACACGTGAAGCGTGCTGATCACGCTCAATCCAGAACTGTCAAAAGGAGGCAAAGCTTCCAGGTTTCCAACAAACAAATTTCCCCGCACATATCTCCCCGGCTCAGTTCTCCGGCCGATTCAAGAGAAACTGGATCASGAGCTTGATGACGTCATCGTTCAGGCCCACCACCTCTCCGTCCTGCACGTCCTCGTACAGCCGCAGGCTCTCGGTGCCCCACAGGAGGTTCTTCCTGGGGTTGTTGGCATCRGTTTCCACGGACAGCGCCACGGTGTTGAGCTGGTAGCAGAAGAAGGAGAAGAAGGGGCCATCTGAGATGACGGCCTGCGACACAAAGGGTCTCGTCACGTCCTCGTAGTTCCAGAAACCTGCAGAGGCGAGGTGTGTCATTAAAATGAATGTTATGCACAGTTAACTTCTTTGCCTCGATTCTGTCAATAAACCGACCCTGGTACATGGCCTGAGCTCCAGTCCAGGCGAAGAGACTGGCCACTGCGTTGGCTCTGAGGACGRCCTCTACCTGGTCTGACCTGTCTAGCCGGGCCAGGCGGTCTCTGTGGAATTTGTCCTGGATTAGATGGAACTGAGTGTGACCATAGCACGCTGGGTCTGGTAGCTTTGCCCCTGTTGAGATCAGAGATGTTTTTTTTTTTTTACAACAAACAGCACAAAAAAAATAAATTTAAAAAAAGGTTAACGTCAAATTGTTACAATTGTAACACCAACCATATAGGATAAATTGGAGAAATAAGACTACAGCTAATTAGAAGAATGTAATCAGAAACAAATACGATTCCTGACTTTAAACTGAACAAACATTTAACTGAATAACAAACWAAAATTTGGCAAAATATAATAGATATCATTAGGAAATTTTAAACTGCTGCGGATTAATATAATTTATTTGATTTTAAAAAAAGCAATAACGAGAGAAAAGAAAAAAATCCATCATGTGCATTTTGGCGCCCCCTAGTGGGACTTTTTGAAATTAGCACACAACAACACAAGAACCAGCTCAGAAAAAATGATTTTCAGTTTGAGTGACAGATATCTCRCTGAGTTTACCTGTGAAAATATGGTTGGCATACTGTCTTTTAAACAGAGGCATCAGGTTAGGAGCGTAAGGGTAATCTGGGACTTCAGCTGTGTATGAAGCCTCCATCGGGGTAAACTGAAAATTGTTAAAAACAACAGGAAGCAAAAGGATTTTCATATTAGTGACTGTGTGGTGAAAGAATTAAGTATGCRAAACACTACAGCAGAATAATAAAATATATGTTTTTGACCTTACTGGAGTAAAATGCTTTGTACCTGAGGCAGCTGCTGAGTTATTCTAATCTGGCTCAGTGGTTGGTCGTCAATCTGGAACCTGGTTGGCTCCAGGTGGCCTACGCGGTGGCCCTTTGGGATTATTCTATTACCCCTCCTCCAGTAAAAGCTCACCTGTGGACTGATATCTGAGAAAAATAAACAAAAAATAGACAATTTTATTCACTGCTTTTTGTTCCTAATAACATAAATCTCCCTTTAAAAACATATGTATGTATTTTTTTTAATGAGAAGTGGTAGATTGTGCTTAATCTGATACTTCCAGTAAAATAAATAAATAAATAAATAAAAATAATCATACCCAGGCTGGACTGCCGGAGCAGCGGGTTGTATTTGCACAACGTGCAGATGAGTTCAGACACCAGGCTCCTCAGGAAAGGACCGGCCAACGTGTCCTGCCTTCTGTACGTGAATGGTGGACGTTTCTGCACCTTGTGCCAGCGCTCCTGTAAAATCACACGCCTGACCAGGTCGCGGATGTCCTCGAACGCAGCATCGTCGATCTCCGGTACCGGTGACAGGGAGCCCTGTGGCGSCGCCGCGGTGAACTTGTCGGGCAGGCCCGGGATGTATGCGGTCTTGGTGAAGTGCTGGTGCCATTTGTCCCCGTTGAGAGCGAAAGTCTGCGGATAGACAACAAATTTCAGCGACTGCTTTTTAGTGATGGAAAATATCTTCTGGTCGATGGGAGAGGCGCGGATCTTTTCAACTGCTATCTGGATCTGTCGCCGCAGAGCCGACTTGCTTTTAGCCGTGAGAGAGGGGACTATGGGCGGGTACGCGGGTTCWTTGGCCGCGGCTTCAGTGTGGACGAGTTTTTGGTTTCTGAACGGAGGAAAAACTTTACAAAGCTGCAAGGACAACCTCATGCGGATCGCCATGTTTCTTCTACAACTCTTCTTCTTCTTCTGCTTCTTTTTCTTCTTCTTGTGTTTTTTGCGGTTGGCAAACAACGTTAAGGTGCATTACCGCCACCTACTGATATGGAGTGTGAACTGGATCAGCTCTATGAATGAATGAATGAATGAATGAATGAATGAATGAATGAATGAATGAATGAATGAATGAATGAATGAAATCCAGTCTGTCTTAAATACTTCATTAAAAATTGAAAGGTTTCAGAATTTGAATTGCTTCGTAACATTTCTAAATCAAATCTTGTTTTATTTTCATTGAGTCTTTTAATCAATTGATTTCTTTAATTTTGGTATTTTTTGCAATGTATTAAAACATGTTCCATATCCTCAGCTTCTCCACAGTAATAACATTTTTCATTATTATGTTTTCCAATTATAAATAATGATTTATTTAACCCTGTGTGTCCTAATCTGAGTCTTGAAATGACTGTTTCCTCCCTTGTGTTTCTTCCAGTACTCCTCATTTTTCCCACTTTCCGTTGAATTTTAAACAACCATCGACCTTTTCTTTCTTCCTCCCATTGTTTTTGTCATTTCTCTCTCATTTTCATCTTTATAATGCTTTTTATTTCTGTTTTACTGAATTTTACTTCAATATCAACTAAAAAGAAAAAAATTGTATAGGTCTTCTGGACGAATTCTTCTCTAATGAAACGTTTCGTCTCTCCTCCAAGAGACTTCTTCAGTCTGAGAGTTTCAGGCAAAATTCAGGCTTTTAAGCCCTGCCTCCATGTGACTGATACTCACATCACATGGCTATCGTTGACACCTAATTAACACTTATTGTTAACAGGGGGTGGAGTGATTCTGGCAATAGCCGCGCTGTAGGAGGGGGACAGCTGAAAACGGAGGCCTCCACCTCTGTTTAATGATGGACGGTCTTTCTTCACAAAAATGGCTTCTTTTACTCCTCTCTCAAACCAACGTTCCTCTCTATCAAGAATGAGAACATCCTCATCTCTGAAAGAGTGACCGCTGGCCTGTAAATGAGTGAAAACTGCAGAGTTCTGGCCATTAGATGTAGCTCGTCTGTGTTGGGACATTCTTTTGAACAGTGGCTGCTTTGTTTCCCCGATGTATAACTGGTCGCAGTCCTCCTGGCACTTAACAGCATATACAATATTGCTCTGTTTGTGCCGGGGCACCGGATCTTTGGGGTGAACCAGCCTTTGCCGTAATGTGTTTTGGGGTTTGAAAGCTACTGGGACATCATGTTTAGAAAATAAATGTCTCAGTTTCTCCGAAACACCCGCAACATACGGAATAACCACTGGTTTGGGTCTGGGTTTGGGGTCTTCATTTTCACCTGAAGGTTGCATGGAATCCTGTCTGTGTTTCCTGTCTGCTTTCAGGAAAGCCCAGTCAGGATAACCACACTGCTCCAGGGCCTGTCGTGTGTGTGATTTCTCTTTCTSCCTGGCTCCTGGGTTTGTAGGGACACTGTCTGCTCTGTGGTACAGAGTCCTGTTCACTCCTAACTTGTGTTCCAGTGGGTGGTGGGAGTCAAAACGCAAATATTGGTCTGTGTGGGTGGGCTTACGATATACGCCAGTTTCCAACCGTCCTCCATCCGAAACCGAGACATCGCAATCCAGGAACGCCAACCTGCCATTTTTTACATCCTCTCGTGTGAACTTAATATATTCATCCACAGAGTTGATGTGATCAGTGAAATGTTGGACTTCCTGGGCTTTAATTTTAACCCAGGTGTCGTCAACATATATATACATATACATATACCAATGGCTCGGTGGCACCCCTGAAAAGGACATCAAGGCTCTCTTTTCCACTTCTTCCATGTACAGGTTTGCAACAATAGGAGAAACTGACCTACACAATTTTTTTCTTTTTGATTTTTTACCTGGATTAATGAGATGCATCAGGTCAATATCAACTACTTTATTTTTGGTAGCCTTTTTTTTTTGCTTCTTTATCTGCCATTTCATTTCCTTTTATTCCAATGTGTGCTGGTATCCAGATGAATGTTACTATTAATCCCATCATTTTAATCCTGTACAGTGTTTGTTGTATTTCAAATAATATGTCTGATCTACTTTCTGAACTGTTATTTTTTTTACATACTGATAAATGAAGAGCTGGAGTCTGAACAAATTATAGATCTGAGTGGTTTATTATCCTCAATCCATTGAATAGCTAATAATATTGATAACATTTCTCCTGTATATACTGATAATTTATCACTGATCCTTTTTCTTCTGTGACTTTTTCTTGACTGGTTATTTGTGGTTAGCAGACACGATCCCGCCGCCTGCTGGTGTAAAGAGAAAGTACAAGCACACAAAATAGCATTTATGCATTAAAATGAAATTTAAAACAGCAGTAAATACTTCAACATATTGCACCCTTAATCAAAGGGTCGAATCATGTAGAACTCATATGTTTTTGGAAAACAAACAAAGTCGCTGCTCCGTATCACGTGATCGTTTCATTTAGCGTCCTTAAGAAGCTGTCGTAAATCTGTGTTTCATAAACAGAAGCAGGCCAGTAATAAAACTTTAACTATTTGTATTTGACATTCACCGTCAGGTTCAATAATTTAAGATATTAAAGATAGACAAGAATAAAAAAGAAAAAAAATTACAAGGCCGCGTATGTTTTATTAGCTTAGCTAATGTGAACGATATTTCACGGCTGTTTGAATACTTACATAGGGTACTTGAACGCAGCATTTTCTATGGAGGAAGTTTAAAGCACATACGTGTTTTGTGTCGTAAACAAAGTTAAATCTTGGTGTTTTTTTTTTTTTTTTTTTACAGGTTGTAGCCTTAATAGCTAGGTACATAGCTATGTTTATTCGTCATGTTTTACGAGCGCAGTTCACCAGGACCAAAACGGCACAGTTTTGTCCTTTTTTGCACGTTTGTCGAAACGAGGTAAGTGTTTTGTTTGTATTAGAGCAGCTGTTTACTGCAGGTGAGCGTTTTCACAGCAGTCTGGCTCAGTTGGCGGCTGTTGGGAACGTGCAGCGTCCCACCAATTTGACGCTGCATTAATGTTTATTTTGTCTGTTTTTGTTTATCTTCCTCTCTCTCTCTCTGCCTCTCCTGTGTCTCTCTAACCCCTCAGAGGTCACTTTGCACCAAAAATGACGAGGTGAAGCTGGCACAGGAGGCCAGCAAGAGCTACGGCTCCCCAGGCCCAACCATCTTCTCCAAAGTGATTGATAAAAGCCTCCCTGCAGATATTATTTATGAGGATGATAAGGTAAACAACCAGTGTCTTGAAAACATGGTTTTATGTCACGTTTGGTCCATCACATCTGGACTTCAGAGGAAAACAAAGATATTATTGCTGGATTTAATTCCTAAATGTGTGTGTGTGTGTGTGTGTGTGTGTGTGTGTGTGTGTGTGTGTGTGTG